ATCCACTAATTATTTATTGACTAAGATGGAAGGGGTCTTAAAAATAATCTAAAACTTCAAATATTAAAGTAAACTATTATATATGAAAACTCAATATAAACTAATACTTAATCAAAATAATTCTAAATTAAACTAATACTAAATAATATAAAAATAATGAACTATAATATGAAAATAATATTAAGAAACTCCCCTGAAAAACTGCATTTGTAATTTGGATATTTCTGTGTACTCACGGCAAGTCCACCGATCGTACAAGTAATATATGATTAAGTAAGAGATCGTTCCCACGAGGATTACGGTTCAAGCACTAATTCACTATCGCAAACTTAGTTGGACAATCGAAGTTGTATTCGGAAACAGGATTTGAATTGCAAAAATTAAAATATTAAATATTAAAGCTAATTACTCGCAAGAATTAAAAACAAGAAATTAAAGATGTGATTTAACTAATAAAATAAAAACGTAGCTAGGGGTTCGATTTCATTTAATCTCCTTATTACGTTTGAATTCCTTCTTAATGTTAATTGTCCTTAGTATCAATCTAATCAATTCTTTCGCATGTTATTAGAGCTCAATCCCTTGTTACTCTAAAACCTTTACAATATTGGAAGAACCCTAGTTCCTCGGTTATTCCCCAAGCATGCAAGCATTAAGTTCAAGAATCTTAAAGATTACGCAAACCCTATGTCTATCCCTAGAATCATAGCGTTTACGATGAAGTTATCAGATATGGATCACACACCAACATTCCTATTGTCATGCATTCACCGATGATCATTATATAAGATTCAAGCCTATATAAAGCATTAAAAACAGATAACTTCATTCATGATAAAAAGGAAAATTAACGTACGAATTGTTCAAAGCATAATAAATCGACTAAAATCCATCTAACCCTAACTACTTAAAGAACTAGCCGGACATGGCAAAATCAAGAACAAAAGAAAATAGAAAAGCTCCCCCAAACTCCATAAGTGATTGGTGGATCTTCAATATCTCCAGTGAACACTTGACGTTGATCCGTCTCCGCCGCTCACGAACATGAATCTGATGTTCCTCCGCGTTCCTTAAGCCTCCAAGCACCCAAGAGTTGTTTAGCAATGTAAAAGTTATGTATTTCTGGTCCCCAATGGCCCTTTTATTGGCCAAAACTTCGTATCCTAGTAGAAAACTCGAATGGGCCTAAGTTGGATCTGTCTGGGCGCTTAAGCCTGTTGTAGCGCGCTTAAGCGCCCTAGGACAGTGAATTCTGACTCGCGTTGAGCGCTGAAGCGCTCTGGATGGAGCTTTAGCGCGCTCCTCGCGACAACTTTTTCTTCTTGTAGCGCGCTTAAGCCCTGAGTTGGGGGCTTAAGCGCCCAGAGGCAGTAGCTATTTGCGTTTTTAGGGTGCTCAAGCTTCTGAATGGGGGCTTAAGCTCCCTCTTCTAACAACTTGGGAATCTTGATAAGATCTTCAAATATTTTTGTTTTGCTTCCCATCTATCCATATCTTATCTGATTTGATCTCCCTTTATCCAAATCTTCATATTTGAATCATTTGTTATCAATCCCTTTAAAAATAACAAATATATTAATTAGTTCCAACAAACAGATAATGTTCATGATTAGTAAATTAAACCCTAGTTTTTGACTTATTTAACTTGATATTTTATATTAATTTAGTCTATAAAATAAGATAAACTAAAGGTTTATCAATGTTTCCTATGTTTATGATTATTTCTTCTCATATCCTTTTTACCCTTTTTGATATACACAGAAAATGTGCTCAGTCCACATAGTATGACAAAACTCCTACAGGTGCATTAAATATTTTTTTTTTTGGTCTGTGCTAACTTCTGAGTTCTTGGCCATGATTAAATCAAAGAATACAAATGACCCAGACTTCATACAACAATTGTGCCTTCATACACATGTCGATTATGCAGCCACGTGTAGAGAGGTGATGTTTTTTTTTTCCCATAGGAAATAGTTGTTGTTTTGTTGTCATAAACCTCATAGGCTCCCTTGTTCCTTAAACTCTGATAGAGATAACATCTTTCTTGGTGAAATTTGGATGAAGCTTTTTCACTACTGTTGTTGACCTACTGAATCTTATTCTAGAAATTATCTGGATTAATGATTGGACAATGAAAATTAGAAATGCATTTTTTCGGATAAAGAAAGAGATTATTTGAATTATTTCTATGTCATTTATGATGTTATATAATAAGGGGAAAATACTTTTGTTTTTGCTGAAAAAAAAAAATTTGTCTACCACATTTATGAGAAAATTTAAAATGGTTTAGGATCATTGAATGATTGGATGCTCTTTCTTACAAAAATAAAAGTTTTTTTTGTTTTATCTAAGTTTTTTTTTTCACCGACTCCAATTAACTTGAGTTAAAGGTACTGTTGATGTTGAGTTTTATCCAAGTTTTTTTTTACCCTTTTGCCCTCTCTATTTGTGAGAATGGACCACCAAAAAGATAGTGATCCAGGTGCACCAAAAATAATTTTCACTCATAAAAATAAGTGGATTCTACAATTTTTTATTTTTATTTTATAATAGGGTCAAATATATGTGCCAATTGTCATTTAGCTAATAAACCGGTGGATAGAGGCCCCACAAGAAGTACTTCTTAGTATTATATTTGAAGCACTTATTAGGATTTCTTGTAATGGATAAACAACTAGCTAAACTAGCCTATTGTACTAGGAAAAAATTATTCTTATGTTACATGTGATAACTTTTTCTCTTACATATCTTTCGATAATTGTGCCAAATTTTTCTTTTTCTTTTTATTTTTCAGTTGGTGGAGCCCACAAATTTATCTCCATAACATGAGATAACTTATCTTTTTTAACATGAGATTAATAAAATCCAATGTACTAATCACAAGTTGGCTAAAAGATATTTTTGATCCATTCCTCATTAGTGCAGTAGCTTATTAGCTAGCGCTACTATAATGCAATCAAATCCACCATACTAGAGTTTAAGAGGTTGAACAGATCGCATATTATGGGAGTAACTAAGACGTTGTTAAACTAGTTCACTACAAATTCAATAACTCATTTAATCAATCTATCTTTCAAGGAATGAGACAAAACCATTTCAAACTTTTCTTTTCTAAATTCTTTGACTTCTCCTTAATAGTTGCTGTGACTCGAACACATCCCTGTTATGATGATAGATCTCTCCTTTATGTGGCTGCTGTTACCAGACTTTGGCCAAATGATCTCCAATCAGCCCCACTTAATGATTTAGTTTTCAAAAGTATTGAAAAGTCCATGTCGGAATAAATCTTTTACTGCATTAGATGTACCGAAGATTTAGTGTATCTGCCCAATCATTTTGTGAGATGTGAACAAAAAATATCACATCATTTACTTTCTTTAAAGGGTTTATCATCTATCATTTAACATGACCACAAAAATTTTCCTACACACACAACATTTTGTGGGGCCCGCAGCAAAAAAAAAAAAAAAACTTCGGCACGCAAAACGAATCTCTATAACATAACACAATCACTTTTCCTACAACATAACTCTTATAAAACCCTTCTTTAAATGATATGATATTTTTTTTGTTCACGTTTCACAAAAAATGAATAGGCAGATGCACTGAGTTTAGTGCATTTATTCATTAGTTATACCTGATGATTTGGTAGTTACAAGAAAAACGATTAAGTTGCCATATCAAACAAGAACACATGGCTTTGTAAAATGTGCTATGTTCATCCGGCACAGGGTCCAGTATAAATCTCGTAGCAGCAATGGCTATTGTCCTTACTCTTCCATTTGTCTTCTACTCATATATATATATATATATATGAGGTAAGATCCTTTAACACCAGTGTCAAATTTCAAATTTGACACCTCATCTGAAAGTCATTAGATAAAAAAAGATCAACGACTCTGATTTGTAAGCATGTGACATCATTAATCTTTTTTGATCTAACGGCTCTCAGATGAGGTGTCAAAGGATCCTACCTCTATATATATATATATATCTATATATATATATATATATATATATATATATATATATATATATTATTTTTTTTGTAAATAGAGAGGGGCCACGCCCCAATAGACAAAAGAAAGAGAGAAGAAGCATTTCTAGCATCAGTAGCTAAAAGGTTGATCAACTGATGAGGAGGTTCGTTAAAGATCCTGAAGTGAAGACTTTCACCATATCCAGTTTTCGCTAATCAATGTGCAGACTTCTTGTTTTCTCTTTTCGTGTGAACTGTTTTCTCATTTTTGGTTTTCAATTCTTTTTTACGGTTTAGAATTGATACCAATTTAAGTGAATCTTTTATTATTGTTTCATAAAAAGTAATGAAACACCATAAAATATTTAGACAGTATATGAAAATTAATAATTACAACCCAGTTTGGATATATCCCACTTCTGCTATTGCAATTCAGTTTTATCAAGCGAGTATCCATGTCATGCTGTATGGTTAGCGTTTTGGCTAGATACTTTTAAACTTGGCTTTCTCTCATTGGTTTACTATCCTCTGGCATTCCTTGGACCTTAAATTTTCATGAATCTATCCTATCAATAGATACAAATTTTTCGAATAACACCAAAATTTTGAAGCTTACCAATGTCTTCGACTGGTAAACAGAGAGCACGTCAACTGAAACTTATTTTTATTATACGCAAATTGGGCTAGCGATATTCCCAACTAACAAATAAAAGACAGTAAATTTACTGTAGTGCCAAATATCATGTGGTCAGTGAGTTTGTTGCTCAATATTAACAGCCCAAGTCATTTTGGATTTGGGTGTAATTTTTATTCAAACGTTCAATCCTTATTCATAATCTTGCAACTAGGTAACTAACTTATCTTAAGAAACACATCACATTGAAATGTTATATTGAGGTTTATAATTCTATTAAATGACTCAAGTATTTTAAAATTCTTAATTGAAACAGTTCATAATAATTTGAAAGCCATGGAAATTTTGTCTAGCTAAAATATGGATGGAATGAATGGCACCCTCCTGCACCTCTTGCCTATTAATCAGCCATTGAACTTCCCCCAAGTTATTTATCCAGCAATAACGATTGCAAAACAGTTTGATGGAGAAAAATTGTAAATTATCAGTAACAAAAACAGTTCAAAACAAAATCCAGTTGACAATAGGCAAAAGACTAATAAGAACTTTCAAACACTGAACGATGACCTATAGCATCATCCTAAAGGTTGTCGACCAACAGGTATCAACTGAAGCACAAAAACATTACCTTGAATGGTACCAGCTCCCAATAACAAAAAACTAAAGCCACATAAAAATTTGGGAAACACTACTACAATCAAGCAGCACCCTTTCCCTTCTTCCTCTGGATTTTCTTCATGTAAAATTCCAGCTCCTTACCTTCCAGAATGTAGCTGCATAATTCAGGAAAAAGAAAACAGTAAGGAACAAATACGAATATAGTTCAATACCAACAGATTCCACAACATGATCACAATTTAAGCATTACCCATCAGCTCTTCCACATTGACCAGGTCTAGAAGAAATACAGGCCAGCAATCGCCCACCACCAAACTGCTCTTCAATGTGGGGATCAAGGTTTCGATCTTTCTGGCGCTTCTCCAGTTTTCTCTGCACATGGTTACTCTTTTTGGTTTCTTCAGCAGCAGCATCACCCTCCTGCAAGTTAGACATCACAGAATAAAGGAGTAGGCATCAGCTTCTATACAAGAGAATCCAGTCCATTCCATCCATAAATTGAATAACAAATTACCGTACAATTCATGTTTAATATTTTTATTGTTTATTGGATCTAATGGAAAGAATAACTAGGAAAATAGAATCAAGCAGTAGCTATTTATTTCTAATCAATGGAAAGTACAATAATAGGTAGTGCGCATTATTTATTAGAGAACTGTACATGCTAGTAATACATGTATTATGTATAAACTACGGTTTGGTGGAACACAACTGCAAATATGTTTAATCTAGGCATCACAAGTCAAATCCACAAATTCAGAGATAATGCATAAACATAGAAAGATTACAGGTTTAAATTTAATAAATTAAATATCTGAACATATTGTCCAGAAACTATATCCAAAGCATCAAACAGAAATATTAGCAGCACGATAATTGCCTCCAGTTTCAATATTTTTCATGCTCAATATTACTTTAACAACAAAACTGGCAAATAAGAATAGAAAAGTCAAATAAATACATGGAAATACATGAGCTAATAAGTATTCATCTGAATAATACTAATATTGTGAGAAAAAAGAAACAGTACATAGAGTAAAACACATCGCGAAAGAAAAGAATAAGTGGAGAATATTCCAAAGGCATTACCTCTGTAGAGTCCTTCTTGGCAGCTGTTTTCTTTTTCCTACCAACATCAACACCATAGTGCTGAAGGTACCACTGCTTGAATGGTGCAGCATCAACCTGAACAATAGCACTTCTGACGAGGGTCTGAGTTCGCACAAGCTCATTGTTGGAGGCATTGTAAACCACATCCAGCAAACGAGTCTTGCGAGTTACAGCTTCACTTCCCCATGAGTAATTTCCAGTATCCAATCTCAATGCCCTCCATTTCACATTGCCACCTCTGACACGAATCCTTCTGACTGTCTTGTTGCTTGATAGCTTAGTGTTAGCTGGCTGGCGACCAAGCTCATACCTATATGAAACCACCAAAATATTTAGATCAAATAAGGATTACAAGAATACAATATTATCATAGCAAAGTAGTAAACAGAAAGCTATCAAAACTATAAACAATAATAAACAAAGGTTACCAAATACAAAAACTAATCAAAACAGATGTATAAAAATTAAAATTAAGATCTCTATTCAAAACAGACATCAACAAAACTCAGGCACATTTAACATGAAAGAATAACTATTTTTAAGGCCCGGACAATTATTCAACTCTGTAAATAAATTACATAAAATCATCTTAAAGCTTTATCATCATTGACGAACCTAAGGTACTCTGCTTACTTTCAGTTTTTTGTTATAATTAGGAAGTTTTATGCCCCTACTTGTCATACTTGTATCGCTTTTTCTGTCGTATTATGGTTCAGTATTTACAAAAATGAGACACAACAACTATATAATCTATTTATCAAGGAAAAAAATTGGAACCATGCCTCATAAAAATTGAGAATTCCATAGCAAGCAGAACTTAACTACCAAGTAGCAAAAAGTGATGGCACAGAAAGAGAAAGAGAAGTTCTCATGCTAATTCATAGAGCATCCAAAATGAAGGGGGAAAAACAGAAAGAATGAATGCAACTCAATGTGAAAAGAAATTGAGTGGAGATTTGCAATGCAATAACCCTTTGATTTTTCCATTCCCCCAAGAAAAGTCAAAAGCCAAATGACTAAAGCTAAATCCATAGATACTCTAGCAAATAAGAAATCACATTTCAAATTCCCTAATCATAATGAACCCCATAAATATAACAGTCCACCTACTTATCAAAAATGCCATAAGAACAAAAACTACGATACCATTTTCATTTTCATTTTAAATCATCTACTCCACAACCAAGCAAGGATTCCAACAATCGTAACAACCAAAATAACCCAAAAAAAAAAAAAAAACACAAACGTGCATTTAACTTACAGCAACAAAACTAGGCAACTCTAAGCACACAAAAAATGAATAAAATTCAAATAGATTAATAAATAAATAAATAAAAAGAGTGAAAGGACACACTTTCTCTTTTTCCTCCAGGCCTTCTTCTTGCCACCAGTGGCACGCCTTTTGTGCATAGAATCCCTGGAAATACCTGATTAAGAAGAAGAATAAACCCCATTAGCGAAAATTGCATACACAAAGAGTTGACGTTAGGGATTGAGCTTAGATCGAAGAACAACGAGAAAAATATGAGGCGCGTACCCATCTTGGTGGAGCAATACTCTCTCTCTCTCTCTCTCTCTCTCTCTCTCTCTCTCTCTCTCGCCTTCTGTTAAAACCCTATTATTATGCTTTATATCAGGAAACCCTAGTTACTGCTCCACTTGCACAGACCCGATCCAACTCAGAGTTCGGCCCAACTTCAGCTTTCTTGAAGAAACTCTTAACCAGATAACAAAAAATAAAACAATTTTCTAATTGTTCTTTGATTTTTTCTTTTAGATTTTGAAAATAAAATTGGAGAAAAACCTAGAGATATTCTCAGAAATTATTATTTAGTTTTATTATTTTTGTGGTGGTAATTTTTTAGTTATGACGGGTACTTTCTTAATTTTTTATAATTTTAAATAAAATAATATTCAAATAAATTTTTTTTTATTTTTTTAATTTGTCTTGTAAATAATTTTGAAAAAAAAATAAAAATCAAATTCAAACAAAACCTATATTTTTTTTTATCAGGTTATATCAAATTGGCTTGAGAGATATTTAATATTATTATTAACTATTCATATGTAAGACAAATCATTAATTCATTTAAGATATGCGAAAAGTAATAATAGAATCTAATCCTCCATCATCCATTTGATAATTTAATATACAACTTGCATATTAATAATTTCTTATGAATGAATATCCAATCTATCTATTTGAAATTTATTACATTTTAAAAGTTCATTTTGAATTTTTTTTTCCTCCTATTTCTTTCTAAAAAAATTATTATCTCTTAAATTCACATACACGCTTTTAAATTTCAATAGGCATGGGTAATGAAGCCAACCAGTACCTATATGTTTCTGTTGTGTCTTGCACCAAAATTACTTTGTGCAATGCAAAATGTTTTATGCTAACTTTTTGTGTGCTTAAGTTTAGATCAACGATCAACACGCGCAATTTAATCAACAAAATGCTCGATAGAAAAAATCGATGCAAGAAGCTAAGGTATCAAGGTGTGGACCAACATTAGCAACTTAATTAGTGAGAGGCTCGGTAAACAAAATCAATGTCAACGACCAAGGCATGAAATTATGGCCCAACACATGTAACTTAAAAAAACATTCGATAAACAAAATCAATTTAAGCACCTCAGGTCCGAGATATTCGTGGAAGTGCCTAGGGGCGGTGCACTATGTAACCAATTAAGCATCAGAATCCCTTAGTCAAGGTCATGTGTGGTGGGAGGTTCGAATGTAAAACTATTTCGACTCTCAAATTTCAAGGTAGATTCAGAGTAGAGTTTTAATAGGAAGATATCATTATTGATACCCATATATATTAAGGAGGATATTCTTACTAAGATTTGTTGGTCTAGTGGCAACTAAATTAGATTATTTGTTGGTCTAGTGGCAACTAAATTAGATTTTAGGATTTGACATGCTCAAAAAATAGTGATTTCAATTCTCGAGAGTCACAATTCATGAAAAGGGTGAAAAGACATAAAACTATTTTGACTCTCGAATTTTAAGGTAGATTGAGAGTAGAGTTTTAATAGGAAGATATCATTATACACTAAAGGAACAATACCATTATACATTAAGGAGGATATTGTGAAACAATTGCAATAATCGAACAAGATTTAAAATAAAGCAATTGCAAAGAATCGAACAAGATTTAAAACAAAAGTGGACGGATAGCCAGCACAACCAAAATCGCAAGCATAGAGATAGGGAGATTACCAGATGTGGACAGATGATCCTAGATGTGGACAAATGCAGAGGTGATAACTCCGATGGAAGATAATATCAACAGGTATAGGTATTGTAGCTACGAATAACAATACCTAATTAGATGTGAAATTTCCAGAATTTCTTTTGTTCCAAACAAGTTTTGAACTTTAGGAAATCGAGTTGTGGACAGTGAGGTTTTTGAAGTTTTGGAGAAAGTGAGGTTTTTATATTGATGGTCGTCAATGGTATATGTTTTTTGTTCTTTTTTATCGAGTATGTGTTTTTCGTTTTGGAGGAAGTGATTTTCGTTCCCAGAATTTTCGATCTTGGTCGCCGAGGAAGAGAGAAAGTGTGTGGGAAGAAGTGAGGAGAAAAAAATGAGAACAAGGGTTTATTTTATTCCGCAAATATTCACCACTGGATGAGATTGTAATCGAACGGATTTGAAAGGAATAGGCAAAATAAGAGTAGACAGAATAATCTATCCCAAATTAAAATTACAAACACATCCTAATTTTCGCCCCAAAATTACGTTTCGGTGAAAATTAGACGAATTTTTTTAAAATAACATTAGAAAAAAGAACCTTTTCATAAAAGATACTTTTATTTATTGAAAAAAACTTCTCATATTGCATGAGAAATATTTTCTCATATTGCATAAAATATATTTTCTCATATTGTGACTCTTCAGTTTGCGTTCAATTTTTTTTATAAAATAAATTTAAAATATAATACCCCGTTCCGGACCTGCGTCTTACCAAACATATGATATTAAGCATAGTTATAATCACGGTAATTGAATTAAAATACGATAAAGCCTTTTCTTTTACAACAACTGTATTCAAAACAATTCTCTTAATATGATTATAACCAAAACAAATGTGGAATATAAATTTCTACTGCTTAAATATCACACAAAGCATATACAAAGATTGCTAAGTGGTTTTCATAAACCAACAGAGCAACAATATGCTATTACGCATTGTACCAACCTTTTATAGGTTCGGTTTTTACAAAAATGCACTTGATCTGAGTATAGTTAAATTCTCATCTTCTAGTATGTTAAACTAGACGCTTAAATCTTTCCTACAAGGTATCATAAGCTTAATTTGGACTTCTACAACTCCAGATATCCTTACCGTAAGATAACTTGTCAAAATTGTCAACATACGTCAACAGCGAGCCTGCACTGTTTTACAACGTTGCATACTGCAACAAAACAACTCATCTATTTTCTCTCAATTTTGGATATATTATATTTGACATCTAGACCTTCAATTTGATATATTATAAGCCTTGTTTCGATAAGAAACGAAGGAGTTATGAATTTTCAAAGTTAAACAACTCTTGCCATCAATTCCACTGCAAACTGGGCAGCGAACATAAACAACAATTGCACCCTATTTTACCTCTCATTGTTGTCCCATATTTTAGGACATTACAGTTCACATCCTAAGCTTCACAACGACAGCTCACATTTCATTTGACAAAGAATTGAGTGAGATATGACTTATCAAAGTCATACACACTACACTTACAGTTTCTTATAAATTTTGACAGCATCTCTATTGTTTTTCCAACAACTATAAATTTCACAATTTTACTTGGTTGACAACATCTAGTTGACACAATATTCATTCCATTCAAACTATTTCACAAAAATGGTTCTGTACCATTTACATTAAACGACCACACAACATTTACATATATCCGTTATTCTTTACAAAACGTTTACATAGACAACGTAGGTCTTTCAAAACATTATTTTCACTAACTATCACATCAAAACATATATATACATAGATTTCACAAAACATGTATCCGTTTAACCAGCAGCTCCAAGTATAACTCTAGTCTTCATCAACTAGCCTCTTACCTTTATCTTTCTCTTTCACTCTAGAAGTACCTAAAATATATCCCCATAACACGGGGTGAGATAAACTCAATAAACTCAGGGTTTATTGAGAAGTCTCCATCCACGAGTTCACTTCGTGCATTACATTTTAATTTCCTAAACACAAACAACACCATTTATTCTCAAATAATACAATTAAGTATCTTCTCATCATTTTTTACAATTTATTAACATACATAACCTTTCAAGTTATAGTTTCATCAATTACTTCACAAACATATATTTTTCAACACATACTTCATAATTTCATTCTAGCATTTACAATCAACTAGAATATACTAATTCCACACAATCAGAATTTACTTCAAAATCAGAAACTCTTATCAGAATTATCCATAACACACAATTTTCACAATTAAGAAGATTAGTACTATACACTAATCAAAATAACCAGAACCATCAGAATACACAATATCACAATCATCAAAACACATCAGAATATTATATATATGTTTTACAGAGTAATCAGAATCAATTGAAAATCAGATACTTTCACAGTAGTATTTATTCTCAATAATTCCACCAGAGTTATCCTTTTTATGGATACACTCAACTTGTACAAATTATTAAATGGCCTCGTACTGGAATTCTTATATATATATATATATATATATATATATCACAACATTCTTATTTTAAATCACAACTCTTATATCAGTGTACTATATTTATACACCATTCTTTAATTTGTTATCAGATCAATCACAACACAACATTCTCTCTGCTGACAACAAATCACAACAGTACATTAAGTACTCACAACGCAGAATTTCCAACACAAACATAATCACATCAGAACACAGAATTTCAATCATCAACACAATTAAATAAACATATCAATAAAACATATCAATCAAATACCTCACATTCAATAACACATCAATCAATTATAATAAACCACTACAACATATTATTTACAAATTCAGGTTCAACATCCTGCATTAATTGTAAACATCAAAGCATACCTATTACTTCTATTGACATGTTATTCACAACAATCATACATAATTTACATGTTATAAAAGCATCAATCATTTCGCATGTTATTCACAATAAATCATACAGTTACACACGAATTCATACGTCAAATATCAATGTAATAATTTACAATATTTTAAATCAATTTACATAAAATCATATTAATTGAATCATACCAATCATATATAATTATTGATCCTATATGAATGCAATCTATACTAGGATTAACAATTTTCACGAATATTTCAAACAGAAACCATAATCCACTTGATTACAACGGAACATTAAGATAGAGAAAGCTCATAAACCGAGAACTTACCTGGTCAACGTTCCTATTAAAACTTGTTGTCCACGTAACCTGCACTCTTTACTCCCACTTACTTTATCCCTTTTAAACTCTGATATTATTCATGAAAATACAATCAATCATCAATTCAAAACACGTATCACTATACACACAAACAATTACCATCCCCATATTAACTTAATTACCCACTTGGTAATTCTTTTAATCACTCTTTACATTAACAGTTCATGTCATACCACACAAGTCTTAATATAATTCCACACCTTAATATTAGACCAACATTTCTAGTTAGTTAAACCAATAACCCAAGTAAGTACTTGATATTTCATTAAGGCTTAGCATACCTTAATAATACTTGAATCTTACTTGATTTCATTTCACAAACATCATACAACTTTCATCTTTTTATTATTTCCATTACATAACCATATTGATACCTATGTAAATTCATTTACTTTTATCATATCAAATTCAATTAAACTATGTTCACTCTTAATTCTTTTTACAAACTGAACATTACATAACATTTAATTATCAAGTTACATAATTTTAATCAATTACACCTATGTTGACCGAATTGTTCATGTCATTATTCGATATGATTGATAACTCTTCAAAAGAGAGTTATTTTGGGCTTAATTGTGATGTTTTGGTGCTATGATTACATATAATTCTCTTGATTTTATATGATTAATGCATGAATTCTATGATTTCATGATTTAATTGAGAATTATGTTAATTACGTATATTTGGATACAATTTGAGCATTGAAGACATTTAAATGCATTTGTTATTTTACTGCAGAACAATCCTATAGCATCGGAAAGCAGTGTTGTAGCAGTGCAGCTGAGGTCAGCAGTGCATATTGTTGACATCATCACCAGCAAGCCATGGATCCAAGCCCAATTTGATGGAAGAAACTTCTGAATGTGTACGAAAAGATCTGATCTGGATATACGCTCAAAATCGTCAAGAAATCACAAGATAATCTTCATCAAATCAAAGATTACAAATCCGATTCAAATATGAATTGCAAATCTGAAAAGAATCTGATGAGATATGCAACAGCATACTCTGTCAGCATGACAGCAAAACAGAGTTGTATCTCCAATCAGAGCTGCAACAAATAAGGAAAGAATCTCCAATCATATCTACAGCAAATAAGGAAAGAATCTCCAATCACACCTGCAATAAATAAGGAAAGAATCTTCAATCATTGCTGCAGCAAAACAGAGAAGATTTGAACATGATTTGTAATGGATTTGAAGAGCTAATTGGAGCCCAATTCATCAAAGTCTATAAAAAGAGGAAGCCTACACCCATCAAACACGTTGGAGAGTCTCTCTTTGAGGCTGGTCAGCCTCTCTTTTAGAGAGAATGAGGGCTTTTGGAGAGATCCCAGTTGTGAAACACTTAGAGAGATTTTGAGGGTTTGTTGAGAGAGATCCAACAGATCAAAGGGTGAGGCTAGGGTTTGATAGAGAGATCATTGAATCCGGTGGATCCCTGCAATATTCCGACGGCTGAGATACGGTGGGTGGTGGTGGTGGAGCCCATGGTTGCTGTGAGAGTAGTGCTACAGCAACGCCCCTGTTTGTTTTATTTTAGCTTTATGAAATCTTTATCCCTCTTTGTTGTTTCTTTCTATTCAAGTATGACCTAAATTATTAGGATTGAGTGATAGAGTACCTTTATTGTGATGTAATCAGTTGCCTAAACTTTGCTATATGATTGTCCTTTTAGTTGTTTAATAAATTGCTTACTTTGTCTTTATTCTTGTTGACTTATCGAGAGAGAGCTGCAAGATATTTAGGGTTTGGGCTATAGAGATATAGGTGAACTCAGAAAGTTATTAAGCATTGTGGTTTAACTAATTTAATTGGTTAATTGTGGGTAGGGAGATCATTCACATCACAAAATCATATGGAACTTGAACTTAATAATTTATAACTATATTGGCCATAGAGATGTGGGACTTAGTATACATGTATTGTTGGTGAGAGCCCTTGCATGCATTAGTGTTCTAATTATTGGTTGGATGATTGCTGTAGCATTGTGACTGCATTCTAGCGAAATTGCAATATTGGGGAAATTGATCCCAATCTATTTTTGAATACTTGGAAAAACTTATTTTGTTACTGCATTCTCATAGTTAATCATTAGTCTTAGTTATTTTATCTCTTGTTAAATTAGTCATTAGCTTATCACAAATCAATATTGTTACCTTTATTGCTTCACATTGATCCTAACTTTATAGTTTTCTTCGTGGGAACGATATCTGGACTCACACATCCACTTTATTACTTGTTGACACGTTCACTTGCATAAATATGTGATTGATAAAAGGGGTACACAATTGCACAACAATGATTAACCAACTTAATCACTTTATAATTCATATTGATTAACACTACACAATTCTTTAAACACTCTAGTTCAATTTCAAAATCATTACTTGACATTTACACTATATTTTCCAATAACACTTATATAATTTCTATGTCATCGATTTGATTTCTTTTCAATGTAAACCACCTTAAATCTTAATTAAACATACACTAGGCATACTTTAATTCATTTGACACAATCAAATATTAATCCTAGATATTTTAAGTGTTTATGGCCGAATGGCCTTAATTAAAAATCCATGCTTTCATCACACATTTTTCAATTAATTTCTCTTGAACCACACATCATTAAATTATCCTAAAACCTTAATTTCCTTTTAACATTTCATCAAACACATAGTTTACACATTTAATCCCTTGATGGCCGAATTATATGTTGTCAAAAATACAATGTTCCTTAATTTATTTTAAACATTTCCAAGCATAGTTTTACATAGTTTTAACATACAACCGCAAAAACAATTTCAAACCACATCAAACAACATCAAATATTCATGATCTTCACAAACCCTAATCAAACTTTAACACCTTGAAATATCAACTTCCAATCATCAAAAATTAGAAGTAATACCTTGAATAGATTCCTTAAACACCAAACTTTCTTTTCCACCAACCAATTTATCAAAACCCTAACTCTCTCTCTCTAGGTGAATAGTACCAATACTCTTTGGATGAAGGTTTCTCTCACTACAAAGCTCTTCAAGAAGAAAACATAAGAGATTTAGGATCACAGGATCAAAAGCTACAACTTTTGTGTAATAAGTTTTTTCAAAAAGTATCTTAAAATTCAAGAACATCCACTCTCTCTCTCTCTCTCTCTCTCTCTCTCTAGATATATGGCTCGGCCATGTGAGGAAGAAGAAGAGCAAAAACATGCGTGCGACTTAGGATCACAAAGGATGACTGGATGCTTGGAAGAATTACACAAAGTTACTTAACTTTTCACTTTTTCACTTAACACACTAGTTAGCTTCCTATTGGTTGCTTTTATTCCCACCTGCATTGTCATCTTATCATACAACATTCTAGAACTCTTCTAGGTGTATAAACCGTCCAACCATGGCAAAGGTGACTAGGATTGCTTAGATGGTAATTTCTACACTTTAAGACTTTCAAACTTTGCAACCATTGATCTATTTGTTCAAGACTAGTCAATCGTGATTCTTATTAGTTAGTCAACACTTAACTTTGACCTTTAAGAATATAAAACATACAAGGTCTCAAAGAATCAATCATACATCAAAAATCATGCCAAGAACTCACAAAGTTAAGTTATGTTACTAAACAACTTTGCATTTATCTTTGATCTAAATCAATTTGTATTGGTTTACTAATTTTTCTTACTTTGACTATTTTTAGAATTTAATCTAGACATTTTTTGAACATAATAAGATCACTTTGAATCCTTGAAATTTACTATAAAATTTAATTACATTATTAAATTCAATCTTTGTTTTAACCTTGGTCAATTACCCAAGTAATCATGACTTTTCACATAATGACATCTATGTCCCAACATATACCTTATACTTATTTTAGAGTCATATCAGACTTGTTTGACATGAATTATATTCTTAACTTACTTATCATGTCAATTACATGATTTACCATTTACCGTTTCATTGAATACGTGTTTAAATTTTCACTTAAACATTTGATTAATTCACTATCATTTATTTGACAGTGAAAATTGTTATATAAAATCCACCACTAGTTAAATCACAACATGAAAATCATACACCATAAAAAATTCAAAACCCTTTATTTATATGTAGTTTCTTTTTCTTTTTTTTGCAATTATATATATTTTAGTTCAATTTTAATTACAATTAAAGTTTATATAAATTATTTTACCAGGCTATTTATAACTTAAAACTTTAAAATTTTAAGTTTTATGCTCTTATTTTTATATTTAACTTTAAACTAACTTTCAAACTTAAAACAATATTATGATAGAAATAAATAAAAAATGTAGACTACGGGTTCCACCGCATAAAAATACAGAATCGATTTTTATGGGTCGAGCACGCCATAAAAACCATCACAATAAAACAAAAAAAAAATGGAATAAGATCAACTTATACCGGTGTAAGAATAACAAATCTTACACTACATCTTAACCGTTGATTTTCGTGTATCTAAGAACTAGAATTTATTAGAAATTAATAATTAATTAATGAGTGAGACCCAATAAATTTTAACCGTTAGATGCACAAAATTTAACGGTTAAAATTTGGTGTAAGACTTATTATTCTTACATCGGTGTAAGATGATCCTGCTCCGATAAAAATTAGTCACCTCATAAAATTTAATTTCGTAAAGACAAATTCCCCTATTCATAACAATAAAACAAAATTTGTCGCTGTTCACATGCCATAAAAACCAACACAATTTCCAAATGTCCACAGACAATAACAAGAAAACAGACCCACGAAATTATATGAACTTCCATGGTTTTTATGCCTTGCTGTCGATATTCATCGGTTGAGCATCCATGGCCACCGGTTTCTGCACGTCAAATCAATTCACCATATTAAATTATTAACAAACACAAGGCACAAACAAAATAAACCAACTTATCCACTAATCCCAACCAGGAGCAATTTTACACAATAATTCGGTTTATCTTATTTTGTAATTCTGAAAGTTAATTTTCCTATATCAGAACTTAGTTACACTTCCTGCATTTGTGACTAGCTCTACCTATACAAGGAAGAAATACATATATGAATGAAAACACAAAAAATTCCTTCTTCATCTAGTACTCTTAGCTTTGGATTTTATGTGTTAATTAATGGAAAACCTTTATATTTTTAGTTTTCCTTGGTTAATTGCATTTGGTGTCCTCACATTCATTGAAATTTCTGAAATAACAATTTCCTGTGTTTGGTATATAGAGCAATCAACCTCAGATAGCTTTCGCTGTGGTTGATTCAACAAGAGTCCAGATCATTGCAAAACAAGATCAGATTATCTAATAGCCTCAACAAGGGTTCCCAAATGAGTATCTTTCTAAACAATGACTGATTGACTGGTAGAGTAAAAATATATATATTCCAATTGGTAGAGTAAAAATATATATATCTCCTGTGGTATATTCATGATAGTTAGATCAAATTTGACTATATTTCACATTGATTTCATGTACGCACCAATTAAATAGCTTAGAAAGCCATTCTAATCCTTAAGTTACCAATATGTGGGTTTGGAATGGCCATTCCATCTCCAGCCCATTCCATTCCACTTTGATTCTATTTCTATTATACGGAATCATCATTCTGTGTACAGTCCAAACATGACATTATCAATGCCCTGTCCAGGAGAGTGCAAGGGTAACCAATCCACTGTCCAAGAGAGTGTAAACATACTATAGAATCAAAGAGATGGAATACTTACATTACTTTCGATAGAATCAAGTTTATTCATTTTGCTAAACATATTTCCGTAAAATTTAGCCTCCTTTCGATTATACTCCTTCATTTTTTCCTTCAAAGTCTTATACTCCAGCTTGACATCCCTGGTTTATATATCAAAACCAATTACATTTGTTATTTTACAATAAAACACACACCAAATTGTATAAATATAACTGATTTTTGAACCACATTAAAGAATTACGCATGTATAAAGGCCAGCAATATTAATTCATTCAGAATATATACCTGTTGTCAGGGTCAATCTCAAGAGCTTTCTTGATATCAAATTCAGCCAAATCCAAGTCAGCCAAATGGATATATGCTTGGGCCCTTCTATAGAGAGCCTTCACATTTGTGCTCTCAAGGTCCAGCACCTGCTTGTCCACATCAAAAATCAGTTATTGTTCCTGTAAAGAATAGAAGTGGTTTTCTATATGAGAGACAGCACCCATACCTTAGTACACAATTTCTCTGCTTGTTTATAATCTTTTAACTTCAACTTGCAAGCTGCATCGTTTAGATTGCAGGCAACCTTCAAGGCCTTGGCTTTCTTCTTCTCCTCTTCGCTGAAGGAGGTATCATACTCTACGAACTTTATAGCCTGCGCTAAGATTTCAGTAATAAAAAAATCTCAGAGGATGCATTGTCATGGAAGAGAGTGAATAAATATTTAATTTAACTTTGATTACCTTCTCATATCTTTTAGAAGCTCTTGCATATTTACCAGCTTTAAACAATGCATTCCCTTCTTCTTTCTTCTTACCTGCAGCTTCAATCTTCTCTTCAGTGTTCATGTCCCAGGACTCCTTTTCCTAAAAGCAAGCAAAATAACTTATAGTTAATACTTGTATGAGAAAGTTAGATTGTGTTAATGAACAGAGAAAGCAAAGAGCAAAAAAATAAAAAATAAATAAATTATGCATGAATGCATGATTCTTATTTTTCCTTAAGCCAAGAACATCAATTTCTAGAATAAAAAAATTTCCTTGCTAAGCCAGGATGATGACAAAGTACACTGATAGCTGTTATGGTATGCATAGACAGAGCATAACTGATTTTTATTCATGGAGTCGAGAAATTCAATATGACCTTTTGATCCTCAAATTGATTAGGCTTGATAACGACTCGGATCTAAATTATAGGTTGTAATTAACGGGAAAATGTTTGTCATTTTAAATGGCACAACTTTGTGTCATTTTAGATTAAAACGACGTCGTTTTGGTGCATAATTGGTATTTTTTATATTATTTTTTCTCCACTTTCTCTCTCTTCCTAATTTTATGGAGGAGAGAGGTCATCAAATATGCATCAAAACGATGTCGTTTCATAAAAAATGACAGAAAATTATATCATTTAAAATGATTAACGCTTTTCCCTGTAATTAATTATAGAAATAAAAGCAGGCGCAAAATGGAAAAAGCATATATAATTGGAATTTGCAGGAAAAGAAAAAGAACAGAGTTATCTTGCTTTTGTTTCAGATCTTCATGAATCCCTTCTTAACCTTGTGATTTTTCAAACTATAGGTGCATGAGTGTTAGCGTTCCTCTCAAATAACAAGATATCTTTAACCAAAATTGAAACCTATACAAGATCAATGCACAATTCCAAATCATCACTCAGTTATTAACTTACCTTCTCAAATGATACTAGCTCAACCTCATAATACACAGTGGAGTTAGGAGGAACCATTGCCAATTCCTGCTGGGACTCTGACAAGCCAAAAGCATACTCAGGTGCAATAGTCAACAGTGCAACCTCACCCTTCTTCATGTTCAACACAGCTCTGTCAAGCCCGTCAATTACTTGCTCTGTTCAACACATCAAACATTAACTCTAGTTGGCATAAAAATAAATTTGTGGAAGGTGGGAGAAACATTGGGACGTTTCATGTTACCTTCATCTGTTTTGAATTCAAACAGCTGCCCTCCATCATCATGGCCCTTCTTCAAAAAGAGAGTACCATCTTGCAGCTTACCAATTAGTTTCACTGCAAATATGAAAAAGGAGGAAGAAAACACCATAAACATGTCCCAAGTCCATAAACAAAGCAAAAGTCATCATTCACATTAATGAGCATTACATTTCACAATGGCTCCCTCATTTGGACGCTCATATCCTTCCCCTTCCTTAAGGATCTTTTTAATGACCTTCTTGTCATCAGTTACTTCTGACACAGTCTTCCAAGAAACTAACTCGAGAGTAATCTGCAGTGTTGCATTTGGTGGAACTACACCTTCGTCACCATGCGCTGGTTTACCCTTCTCACCAAATCCATCTATAAACCAATATAGAAATGCATGAAACTTTGAACTAAAAGAGTAAATGGAGATTATATCAATATTACTAGTCATACAGTTTTCCAAAAAATAAAATAAAAAATAAAAAAATTCATATCACCATTTACTAAAGCATTCTGTAGACAACTTACATTGTGGCTTCACAGTCAAAATAACTTTTTCTCCCTTCTTCATGGTTTTAACAGCCTTTGACAAAGCAGGACAAAAATGACCTATCATATAGTAAACATTAATGTAAGATACCACACAAAAGCAAAATTAAAATAAGAGATTAACAAAATTTGTAGGCACTGACCTTCTTTAACTGTGAACTCCACTCCATCAGATTTCGTTACAAGTGTTCCATCATCAAGACGTGCTTCATACTTAACTGCAACACCAAGATTACAGTTTATAGTTAAGACTAAGTTAAATAATACAGCGATAAAACATCATGGACATATGTAAGAAATATGTATACCTAAGACTTCATCAGGATCCTTGGGATTCTCCCATTTCTCCCCCTCAGTAAGTATCTTCTTAAATAAACCTCCATCCTTACATATGTCCTTCACACTAGTCCAAGACAGAAGCTCAACATCAAATTGGAGAGTCGCGTTGGGAGGAATAGTTGGAGGAGAACCAGATTCACCATAAGCTAGCTCAGGTGGGATGGTGAAAATGGCATTTTCACCTTTCTTCATGGTTCTAATACCTTCATCCCATCCTTTAATAACTTGCCCTGCATTTCCAAGGTATCAATTAGAAATATATCAATGACCAAAGGTGTAATGTGAGTAGTAAGAATATCAACCAATGTAGTTTATGTTAGTTAAACAATGATTTCAAATTTGCAATCAAAACACAAGACTTTCTTAAAAAAAATGTATGACTCTTTATCATTTGAATAATAAAAATTTAGACACGTCATGTAAGGGGAACAGATGGATTTAAGAAAACGATCAAATTTACTGGTCAACAAAAGCTATCAGAAACAGTTGAGAAATCAATCTAACACTTGAAGAATAATCTATTCTTAACCAAGTCTGTAGTAACCTATTCTTACACATGAAGTAAAATTAATGGATCTTCAATGTACCAAAAAAAAAAATTAATGGATCTTCTTTATAAGTCAAAACGTATTAGTTATTACTTTTAGAAAAATTCGAAATAAAAGTTTACTACAAAATAATGTCGCAAATCTATGTAACTCCCCAACAAGTGCTAACTGCTAACCTAATACACAACACCAATTTCACGAATTTCCGTTTCAGTCTCATATTCTACTACTTAGCATTTCAATTCAAAACCCACCTGATATAAACACCCACTACTCATCCCGAATGCAAAACAACTCACGCAAAAGATCACACAACACATAAAATCTATTCCATACCCCGAAAAAATGCTCAAATCATTATTATTTATTCGACAATAATTTCACAACGAATATTATTTGCTATCACTACCACAGCCCCACTTCGAAATTTGACACACACTAAAGTGCTAATAGCTCAATTCACTTCATAACCAACCAAACAGTCACCGTTCCAAGTTCCAACACATTCAATCACTACACCACCATAAAATAAAATAAAAAGCACGATACTAACCTTGCCCAAGCGTGAACTTGAAAGGGGTTCCCCTATCTCTGCTGGAATCAAACTTGGTGCCATCAAGCAATGTCCCAGTATAGTGAACTACGATTCAAAAAAGAAAAGAAAAAATTAATCAAAAAAATAGCAAAACGAAACGAACCCAATACTCGTGTTCGCAACAAAACACAATCCAAGCAATTGAAATGGATCAAACGGAGAGATGAGTAATGGTACCTTGAACTTCATCACCCACTTCAGGAGTGTCCCATCCTTCACCCTCCTTGAGAAGCTTCTTCTTCAATCCCTGCTTCCCAATCTCTTTCTCCTCCCCGACCTTGATAATCGGGTTGTCGTCGCCGCCGCCGGCGAAGTCGAAGTCCTCACTCATAGGCTCCGCCGCCGGTAAGTCGAAATCTTCGTCCATGTTTTCCGGCACCCAACTGTGGAAATGTAATGTAGAAAAGAAGAAGACGAAGAAAAATGGGTTAAAGCAAAATGGTGCAACAATTAGAATGAGTAAAAGAATAGTTGGGGTTCCAGAGAGTTCTACGGCGAAGGTTTCAGAGTACGTTATGCGTGGTGAGTTGGTAGTTTCGAGAATCAAGGATTAAGATGTTTCCAGATAACGGAAATTCTTCCTTTATTTATTGGTTTTTTAGTATTTTTTTGTAGGAGAAGGTTTACCACTTTTTTTATGGTTTAATTTGTGCAAGGGAGGTTATATTTATTATATTTGTTTTTATTATTTTTTTAAGATTCAAAAATTATAATGGTTAGATTGACGAAAATTAATGATTAAAATTTAGTAGTAAATGATTAAAATTTAAATAGATAATAAGTATAACTTTTTCCTTTGTTTAATGCTGTAAGATATAAAATCATTTTACACATATATAAAAATATATGAGATTTATGTGAGGTTATATCACAAAAAAAGAGAGAAAAAAAAATATTAAATTTTCTTTTATATCTATTCAATTAGGGAATACATGTGTTATTTAATATCATCACACAAGAGAATTTTTTTTTTTTTGGTAGTCGAAATTTTAATCATTCATGATCAAGTTAATAGTTACAAGAAAAAAATGTTGGAATAAGAAATGTCCAAAAGATAGTCATTGATTCATTCATGATCATGACTAATTAATATTATTATTAGTCATATTAAATTACACATGGAAGAATCTATTAGATCATTATCATTTAATTATTATATATAATAAATTATGGGCATGTTGATGAATATATTATTTAATGATATTCTTTTAATGACAATAATTACTTATCTAGACATATAAGAGGAGTGAATCCTCTTACCTATAATTTTCATGATTAGGTCATGCAAAAATTTCTTTATGGATGATAGATAAAATAATAATGATAAGAGATGAAAAATATATATATATATATAAAAATACAAGGTGAGAAAAGGATAGTTGTTGATTTGTCTATCAACAATTACAAACATATAATCTGATCATGCCAAGTCAAATGATTTATTCCCAAATCCAGAAGGTTGACTCAAGTGATAATATGAGTTTCAAAACAGACGAAATGTCAAAAGAGCATGCATTTGAATCCTGAAGAGAAACTTTGGGACAAAGCTCAATAATTATCATGTCGTTTGACTTGGGATTAATCTCATATCTGTGTGAGTCCTTTATCCATCCCGTCTACGTCGTGACAATATTCAAAAACCTAACTCACCCCAAATGGATAATTAGACTCATAAAATAAATAAATGAAATCCATTCCCACGTTTAAGTATCCATGGGAGGTGTGAGTTAAATTATTCGTAATGTGGCTATAAAAAAAAAAAAATATTCGTAATGTATAAATTTAAACTCCACATCTTGGGAAACTGACATGTCAATTAAAATATTAAAGCAGAGGTTACTTTCATGGCTTCTCATCATGCCTTAATGGCTTCTTCCAGTTTTAACCATATTGACAGTCTTCTAGGCATAGTACTTCATTCTTTTCAGCTGTTAATTAGTATTTTATTCCTTTTTGTTTTAAACCCCCAAGCACTGAAAGCACCAAAATGGGTGATATATTGTCTTCTCAACATGTAAAGGAGACGAATTCCTAGGGGAAGTTGTAATTCTTGTTAAAGTGACAGAAGAGTGCAAGAAAAGACACTTGGCTTCTTTTTATTTGGTACTCAACAAATTTCAAAATAGCTAACATAATTTTAGGAACTCTAGGAGAGTTTAAGAGACCTTTATATATTCTATAATTCTAACTAATAATTACAATAACTTTCCTTCGCTGATAACATAGTTGACACAAATTACGAAACTCCAAAATAATTCCTTATAAAACTCACAATAATTTTTCAAATAATTCACACAATTATATTCTTCATAAAATATATTTTGGTAGTTTGGGTGTAATTTGATCTTTTATGTAGCTTACTCTGAACAAAACATATGAATCCATGATACTCTCTCCTTTCTCTGTATTATGGTTACTTCACCAATACTTTCTGCATACTCCATCATGTAACCACCTTTCTTTATCTACTTACATGTTTAGGCACTTCATTATCTACTTAATGTACTTATATCCCACAGTTGCCACTACCTTATGCTCACTCGTCTTCACACACCTCACACATGGTATAAATGCACATTCCCACCCTAGGGTATGAATCTTTAGCCTTTTGCACTCTCCACCTCGTACTAACACTAGCTTGAGCAACGAAGACTCTACATATGAAACTCTTTATACCGTGGCAAACAAAGGAGCACCCACTTCCCCGATTGAACACCGAAGATACCAAAATTCAACCTGATGGAGCAAATTCAATTAATTGCTGAGGGAGGCAATATTGGAGCAATTACTGCGCTCTTATTTTTACATTCTAATCCAATGGTTTGTAATTATGTAGCTTAAAGCATATTGCTTTTCCAAGTGAGGAGACCTTTGATAATGTTTTTCTGTTACCCATGCCTCTCTCTTTCAGGCTGTCTTCTTGCTTGCTGTGAAAATGCTACTTTATTTTTTGGATTGTTGAGAGTTTTGTCCTTTTCTATTTTGATCAACCTTGCCCTTGCTTTTTGTTTATTTTCTCCATCTTCCCATGGGCTGTTACATTGAGAGTTTGTTCTATTTTTTTTTAAAGATATTCACGGTTCATTGCTTCGCGACAACCTAATTTGGGGCGGGTCCGGGTATTAAAGCTTTTAACCTCTTCTAAAGATAGTACTTGGGAGCTATGAAGCACTGATACTCCTCATTTTTTTTTCCAACGTATCGGACACGCGTATTGGAAACATATTGTATCATATTGACGTATCGCAGTTCTATATCGAGAACGTATCGAAAATGCCGTATCGAAATCAGTGCTTCATAACTGGAGAGTATGGAACACATTTATTCTCTACCTTTTTTTTTTCCTTTAACATCTGCAAAAATAAGGCACAAGTCAACTGCTCAATTTAAGCCCAAAGAAAAATTTCATAACTTGATCCAGATTAGCTTGATTTCTGTACCGTGGAGTATTGTAAGCCTAATATGTTCCCTAGGAGGGGATGTGAATCACTGTACGAGTGCTGTCATTAACAAAGGTAGAGACCAAGTTAAACGACAACGTCCTGTTGCGAAATCGGCAAGTATATCGTTCGTTTCAAGTAATAAAAGTGATAAGTAAAGATCGTTCCCTCGAGGATTAATGCACCAACTACTAATTTAACTCTTGCCCTTAATTTGGAAAAACTTGTTTTGATTGTGAAAATATTGTTAACAGAAAATTAAAGACAATAAGAATCAAACGCATTCAAGAATTATCAAGAACGTCAAAGAAAAGGTGAACAATTGAATTTGTAAAAGAACTGCAGTCAGGATGCACTTCACCTCCGATCCTCCTTTATATTCCTAAATTGAATTTTATAACTAACTAATTTATTAGCTCAGACAATTCATTATTTCCATATTAAATAGTTGAATCCTAATGTCTTAGTGTTTTTAACCCTTTCTTGTCTCGAATCTCCAAGTCAAACTCCTGGAACAGAAGCATCCAACGCAGCAGTCGTGGCTTTGCATCCTGTTTACTCATTAGATACTTCAATGCAGCATGGTCAGTAAAAACAATAATTTTAGATCTTATCAAATAAGGTCTAAATTTATCTAATGCATAAACTACAGCTAGCATTTCTTTTTCAGTTGTGGCATAATTAACTTGTGCCTCATTTAAAACTTTGCTAGCATAGTAGATAACATGCAACAGTTTATCCTTACGATGACCGAGTACAGCTCCTATTGCGTATGCGCTCACATCACACATGAGCTCAAATGGAAGATTCCAATCAGGCACCATCAGAACAGGCGCAATGGTAAGTTTTTCCTTCAACAGATTAAAGGAATGCAAACATTCTTCATCAAAATTAAAGCTAGTGTCTTTCACCAAGAGTTGACTCAAAGGCTTTGCAATTTTGGAGAAATCCTTGATGAATCTTCTGTAAAAACCCGCATGGCCTAAGAAGTTTCGAACACCATTAACATTAGCAGGAGGGGAAAGTTTTTCAATTAATAAAAGTTTAGCTTTATCAACTTATATCCCTTTTTCAGAAATTTTATGACCTAACACTATTCCATCTTTTACCATGAAATGACACTTTTCCTAGTTTAAACCCATGTTTGTTTCTTGACAACGTTTTAACACTTTGGATAGATTAACTAAGCATGAATCAAAGCAAGAACCAAAAATAGAAAAGTCATCCATAAATACCTCTAATGATTTTTCAATCATATCAGAAAAGATGGAAAGCATGCACCTTTGAAAAGTAGCAGGTGCATTGCAGAGGCCAAATGGCATCCTTCTGTAGGCAAACACTCCAAAGAGGCAAGTGAATGTTGTCTTCTCTTGATCCTCTGGTGCAACAGGTATCTAGTTGTAACCAGAATAACCGTCTACAAAACAGTAATATGCATGTCCGGACATCTCCAGCATGTGATCAATGAAAGAGAGAGGAAAGTGATCCTTCAGTGTGGCATCATTTAGTCTTCTGTAATCCACACACATTCTCCACCCCGTTATAGTTCTGGTGGGAATCAGCTCATTATTCTCATTCTCAATCACTGTAACTCCACCTTTCTTTGGCGCTATTTGAACTGGACTTACCCATGCAGTGTCTGAGATTGGGTAAATCATGTCGGCATCAAGGAGTTTCACTACTTCCTTCCGAACTACCTCTTTCATGGTAGGATTGAGTCGTCTCTGAGGCTTCCTCACAGGTTTGATGTTGTCTTCCATAAGTATTTTGTGAGTGCAGAAGGAAAGATTGGTTCCTTTTAGATCAGATATAAACCACCCTATGGCTGTTTGGTGGTCTTTGAGCACTTTCATCAACTTGGTTTCTTCAGAATCAGACAACTCTTTGTTGATGATGACAGGATACGTCTCTGTATCTCCTAAGAAGATGTATTTAAGAGTAGATGAAAGCTCTTTTAATTCCACCTCTGGTGCTTCAACTGTGATGTCTGAATCCTTCTTCTTCAACTCTTCCATTGGAATTTTAGAATTTTCCTTTCGAGGGTTCTCATCAAAGAATTTTGTCTCTTCTTCAAGAGTCTGACCATCATCTTTCTTTTCAAGGAACAGTTCTTCAAGAATGTCCACCCGAAAGCAGTCGTTTTTAGCCTCAGCATGCTTCATAACATCAAAAATATTAATGGCGACCTTTTCGTCATCCATTCTCAACTCCAACTTTCCTTTCTCCACGCCAATCATGGCTCTGGCTGTGGCACGGAAGGGTCTACCCAACAGAAGGGGCATGTCTCCTTCTTCTTCCATGTCTAGGACTACGAAGTCTGCATGAAAGATGAACTTGCCCACCTTGACAAGTACGTCTTCTATTACTTCGTTTGGTCTTCTCAGAGACCTATCAGAAGGTTGGAGAGACACCATAGTGGGCTTCAGCTCGAAAATTTCGAGAGACTTCATTACTGATAGCGGCATAAGGTTGATGCTTGCTCCAAGATCGCACAATGCCCGACCAACATTAATGTTGCCTATCGCAATCGGGATGTTGAAACTCCTTGGATCTCGAAGCTTCGGTGTAAATTTCTTCTGAATAATGGCACTGCACTCCTTGTGAGAGCCACTGTTTCAAATTTATGCAATTTATGTTTTCTAGACAAAAGATCTTTCATAAACTTAGCATAGTTAGGCATGTTAGCTAAAGCTTCAACAAAGGGAATATTTATTTGCAACTTTTTAAACATTTCTAAAAACCTGGCATGTTGTTGCTTCTGTGCTTGCTGCTTTGACTTTATGGGATATGGTGGTTTCTCAAAGCGAGAGAAATCTCATTGCTTCTTTGGAGTCTCTACAGCTTTCTCATTTGCCTCTCCTTTGTCTTTTTTAGCAGGCTCTTCTTTCTCATTTGCAGGTGTTTCCTCCTCTTTTTCTTGCTCTGGTTCAATTACTGGTTCGTCAGCTTTCTTTTTCTGAACCACCTTTGGCTTTTCTTGAGGAGTAATCACAATTTCGCTCCTTGTAACAATGGACTTGCAGTCTTCTCGCGGATTGACTATAGTGTTACTTGGAAATTGGCCTTGATTTCTCTCAGCAAGCTGCCTAGACATTGGCCTATCTGATTCTCCAAGTTCCTCTTGTCTCATTTATGAAAGCATCAGTGGTCTGGACATGGTCATTGGTGGTTTTAGAAAGCTGCAACATCGCTTTCTCCAATTCAGACGGTTCCTTATGTGGAATAGGAGGAGGTTGTAAGTAATTGTTGGATTTGTAATCCAAACCTCCCCCTTGAACTCTCCTTTGAAAGTTGTTCCCTTGAGCATTGTTCCGGTTCCTCTGGAAGTTCTGCGCTGGTTTTAGATCATACCAGACTCCATTAACTTGAAACGGCTCATATCCTACAAGTGTTGGACACTCATTGGTCTCATGCTCTCCTTTGCAATACTCACAATTAACTGAATTAACTTGAGCAGTAGAAACTTGCATCTTGTCCAACTTAGCATTCATACTAGCGATCTGTTGAGATATAACATTATGTTCGGCTAACATAGCATCATTATTCCCCAATTGAAGAAGTCGATTCCGTGGTTGAACTGCCATAGATGCATTTTCGTTCTTTGCCATATAGTCAATCAGCTCTAAAGTTTGAGCTGTTGTCTTCTTCCCTATGGTTCCACCAGCTGCACCATTGACAACCATTCTGGAATCTGGTGTCATTCTATTGTAAAAGACCCTGACTTTCCTCCCGTCTGGAAAATCATACTGGGGGCATTTTCTTATCAGTTCTTGGAATCTGGTCCAAGCTGCACATAGAGTTTCTCGTAGCTGCTGTGTGAAGTTGGTAATTTCATTAACCAACTTGTTGTATTTCTCCATGGAAAAGTGCTCAGCAAAGAACTTGGCTGCCAGTTCATCCCATGTTCTGATACTGTTGGGGACTTGTCTATCCAACCATCTGAGAGTTTTCTCTGTTACAGCAAAAGGGAATAACCGGAGTCTAATTGCATCATCTAATATCCCGTGTTGCTTGGTTGTATCACAGATTCTTAGAAATCTGTCCATGAAAACATGGGGGTCTTCATAATCTTTCCCACCAAATGAAGTTTTCTCCACCAAAGATATCAGTGATGGATGGATATCATAATTGTTGGCATCACTTTATGGTCTGACGATGCTAGAATTTGGCCTTGTGAAAAGAGGAGCAAGGATTGACTCCATCAATTCATCCTCCGATGGTGGATTGGGAGTTGCCATCTCGGGTTCTGCTTTTGGCTCTGAACTTGAGGATTCCTCTTGCTTCCTTAGCTTGGCTAGCTTCCTGTTCTTCTTTGCAGTCTTCTCTATTTCTGGATCAAACTGTAAAGATTGACGGTTAACTTTACCTCACATAAAAGAGAGAAATCAAATCAGTATAAAAAAAAAAACTCCAATCACATAATTGTTGGCATCACTTTGTGGTCTGACGATGCTAGAATTTGGCCTTGTGAAAAGAGGAGCAAGGATTGACTCCATCAATTCATCCTCCGATGGTGGATTGGGAGTTGCCATCTCGGGTTCTGCTTTTGGCTCTGAACTTGAGGATTCCTCTTGCTTTCTTAGCTTGGCTAGCTTCCTGTTCTTCTTTGCAGTCTTCTCTATTTCTGGATCAAACTGTAAAGATTGACGGTTAACTTTACCTCACATAAAAGAGAGAAATCAAATCAATAACAAAAAAAAAAACTCCAATCTCAAAGATCGAAAGTTAAAATTAATATTGGCGTAATTAATTCCCGGCAACGGCGCCAAAAACTTGTTGCAAAATCGGCAAGCATACCGTTTGTTTCAAGTAATAAAGTGATACGTAAAGATCATCCCCTCGAGGATTAATGCACCAACTACTAATTTAACTCTTCCCCTTAATTTGGAAAAACTCGATTTGATTGTGAAAATATTATTAACAGAAAATTAAAGACAATAAGAATCAAACACATTCAAGAATTATCAAGAACGTCAAAGAAAAGGTGAACAATTGAATTTGTAAAAGAACTGCAGTCAGGAAGCACTTCACCTGCGATCATCCTTTATATTCCTAAATTGAATTTTATAACTAACTAATTTATTAGCTTAGACAATTCATTATTTCCCTATTAAATAGTTGAACCCTAATGTCCTAGTGTTTTCAATCCTTTAACCCAATTAGAATCCTAGTGTCCTAGTAATTCCTCTTAAATTAAGCAAGAAGCAAATGAATTAAAATTCTGCAATCTATGTAAGGCTATATCTAGATCATACACAGATTGTTATTCTACCCTTGTCTGGAATAAAATCCCAATATTCCTATTGTGAGCTCTAACCCTCAAAACCCTATAATAGAGTGATCAGTTCTATAAAAGATGTGAAAAAATTAACATAGATAGAATAAAACTAACTATATTAAATTAATCATAAAAACAATTTAAAAATTAAAAAGGATTCACATTGGATCCATGATCCCAACTACAAAAAGAATTTAGCCAGTCATATCTGGCTTTAACAAATCACAATAATTAAAAGAATTCATTCAAGAATAGAAAAGAAGAAAAAGAAGATGAAGAAGAAATCTTGAATCTTCAGTTTCTCTGAGTGTTGATCTTCAGCATAAAATCTCCAAGAGCTCTCTCTCAATTTGTGTTTTTTGTAATTTCTCCAGCAAAAAGATGATTTTTAAGGGTTTCCATTCCCTTATTTATAAGAAGGAATTCAAATCAGATCGTATCTTATTAAATCTTTCATTCACGTCGTTAGCTGATAACAAATCAATCAATTTGTTGATGAGTCCGTCGAACCCACGCAATCCGCGCCAATGTCGCGCGATCCGAGTGGGTAGTCAGTGAAAAAGACTGCAATTAATCTCTGACGGCGCGATTCGCGCCATATCCACGCGATTCGCGTGGTGAGGCAGTGATTCTGGCGCTATTCGCGCGGTTGATGGCTGTTGGACTCAGCATTTTAGCATGCATTTTCTCCTACAAAATAGAGAATTTCAGTGAGAACATGTTTGAATGCGGATAATCAATAATTCTAGAGGTGGCAATTTGGGTTCAACTCGACCCGCCAACCCGCCAAAACGGGGCGGGTTGGGTTATACTTTTCAACTCACCAACCCACCTCAACCCGCTCCGCTTAGTTGGGGGTCAAAACAGGTTGGCGGTAGGACGGGGCGGGTTGGCCCGCAGGTCAGTTTTTTTTTTTTTTTTACTAATAGGTAGTATTTTATTTTTAGCTTTTGTGATATAGAATTTTTTTTATTTTAGTACTCCCTAAGAAAAATAAAGAAGAAAATTTTTATTTATTACAAAGGTTATCCATATATTGAGGCAAAAATAAGTTCCTAAAATATATTTGACTGAATATTAGTATACATTTAGGTTTGAGATTGGAAAAAAAACTAAAGGGATTGTGAAATGAAAATAAGAAATATTATAAAATTAATAAAATATAATTTTTTTTTAATTTTTATTTTTATTTTTATTTTTTAGGCGGATTGACCTGCCAACCCACCACAAACGGGGTGAGTTGGGATTTTCAACCCATATCAAAATGCAAGGCGGGGCGGGGTGGGCCGACCCGTTTTGCCACCTCTAAATAATTCATTAAAATAATAGCTTTTATCACTGAATTAATGTCAAATCCTTGCTCTTTTTCCCCTTTAAATCTCTATATGCTGAAGGCATATCACGTCCCAAGTAGAGTCTAAATCTGTAAGTTGGGGTGTGTGTGTGTGTGATAGTGAGGGCTAGAAGTAATGGCATATAAGATGTCCTTTTTGCTTGGTGATGGAGGGGTATTTATAGGTGAAGAAGATGCCTGCTCAAATGGGAGAGGGAGCCGAGTCAACTCTCCTTGGGGAGTGATACGGGTGGCTAACATTGCTGTGGCGGCAGCAATGCAGCCTCTGCTAGGTTGGTGGCAATCACTGCTGCTACGTCTGTAGAAAGGAAGTTTCTATTTAGAGGGTCTGGAGAGACTATAGGGTGGAGTGAACATCTCAAGATAAGACATTATCGGTGTCTTACCTTGAGGATATTGTCTCATGGGAGACAGAAGGATAACAGGGTTGGTAGTTGTGAAAGTTAAATGGCCTTGAAGGCCGAAGCATGTGAGAGGAAAAAACAAAATTTTTCAAGCGGAACTACACATGCATTCAAGTCTCATGCTTTAAGACAGCATGGTGTTACCTTTGTTTGTGATTCAAACAGCAAGGAGATCACTGTCAGGTTTGAAGGGTTCAAACCCTCTAACGTTGATCCACACCACCCACGTCAAGATGCAAGAACACTTTCTTGAAAGCCACCAATTGACCACCACATCAAGCAGCTTGCTAGGCGTCCAATGTGTGAAGGAGGAGACTAGGTAAAGGTGTTTAGAAGAGTGAAGTCTTCAACATGAAAACTTCACAAGAGTGGGGCATGGATTGGAGTAGAATTGGCTAGGAGTTTTTGTGAAAACCCTAAGGAGAACTTACCCAAGTTGGCGCACAAGAGAGTGAGGGAATTAGAGAGTTGATTCAGATTTTTCACTTTTAATCACAGTAAAAGTGGCGCACAACAAGAGGAGATAAAGGTGGAGTTGTTGCAATTCAAAATTCTCAACAACCTCCACTTTGAATCCTCATGAGACTAGGTCTTTATCTAGTCAAGATTCTGACCTAATGGTTACCATATGACTATCCTATCTATGCGCACCATTCAGCCCCAAAAGGGGTCCAGATATGTTGAGCAGTTGCATTCAAGTTTGAACCAACTAGCTCACTGATTCTCTCAACAACCAAATCTGATTGGAGCTTATTTGATTGACAAGATGACACTCATATCCGACCAAAAGTGGCGCCCCATTCAGCCTTGGATGATCTCCAAAGATCTCCTCTTGATACAAGGGATTTGTTCCAACAATATCTCATCTTATCCTTTTGTTATGAAACAACTTTTCACAGCCAATTCAAATTCGAATTCAAACATTTAAATTCAAACGTTCAAACATTTGAATTCTAAATTCAAATTCAAAATTCAAATTCAAAACTCAAATTTCAAAACTCAAATTCAAAATTCAAATTTCAAAATTCAAATTTCAAATTTCAAAATTCAAAATTCAAATTCAAAATTCAAAATTTAAATATTTGATAATTAATTTAACCAATTAAATTAATTAGTAATGTCTTGGACCATCCAAGCCCATTACATGATTCATGTGCCATTTTCCCTTTAGGTGGGCTTCCAAACTTCTTTTTGGGCTAACAACCATTATTAGGCCTAATACCTTTAATGCTAGATCATCATGACAATAAGGTGTTAGTGTGTGACCCATTAGGTCCAACATAGGCACTGACATAAATGGGTTCAGGCCCAACAAGCCCACAACCTAATTAATGACAACACAGAGCACTAGCAATGCTTTGTTACCCCAGAGCTAGTTAGATTAATGACTTGATCATCCTATTACACATATTTGGTTGCCGTATATATTTCCTTTCGTCTCGGTTACCTTCCCATTAAACCTAGGGTAAGGAAACGTATCAATCCTTGCGGTTTAGGGTAAGCTTTATTCGAAATAGGGAATATCATCTCATGATCTCTTTTACTATGCATAGATTCTCGAGTCCCAGTAAATGTCATCTCGATTTCTCCGGTTGACAGATAACCTAATCTCTCACATAGATTTGACGAATTCCTTCAACTTATCACCCTAGCCCTGTGCTCTTTCAAGACAAGCCTAACAATGTACCTATGAGTCTCCATGTTTCAGGCAGACGAGGTATACAATCAAAGCATGCCTTCTAGAGCACAGTCTAGGTAATAACTTCTGGTCTAAGGAAACACATACCCAAATATAAAGAGACTACTCTAATGATACTATCTGTGAGATTTCCTCATAGAGTCTCTTTGTGGGTCTGTTCAGTGCGAGCTATACCCTTATAGGTCCACCCACGACTGTAGCTAAGACATCTCCATATCTGTAGCACATGAGGTCTTTACCTTGTATCCAAATACAAATAGATAAGTCGTGCTAGTCTTACCTGAGATCACTGATCCCCATTCTCAGTGTCTCTAGACTAGGAACATAAAATTAGGAATAAACGTGCGGTATCCTTGAATCCTCATGATCGTGATCTCATCACAGATACTAAAGAGATACCTGTTCTATTCCAAGGGGTTTATCCAGTTACTCATATAAAATATTAACAATAATATTGAGACAAAAAATGAAACAGGATAAAGAATGCTTTTATTTATTTGCGACAATATAAAAGGTCCACATATGTCCTAATCTAATCAAAAGATTGTATATAGGACATCCATATACTAACAAGTTGCTGGTCAGCAGGGCTGATATGGAAGATGGGAGTGGGTTTGGCCCTGCTTTAATGGTCGGCTGGTTGTGAGCCATCCAGAACAATTTCCATTCTTTTCATTTGCTCCAGCCATAATTAATTAAAAGTGTCAATTCAGCTTAAATCAATACAAATTCAATCAAATAAAAATATTAAATAGAGGAATTTATCAAGAATTAAACTAAGATAGATCTACAAATTGACATATATTACAACCCATATCCCATCAGACCATGTGTCAAACATTCTTTACATCATATATGCTTGCACAAAGTTCAAACTAACCAAAGGAATTATCATCAAGACTCTTTGGGGTTCCAAAGAATTCTGTGATGCGTGAGTGGTTAGTTTAGAGAATCAAGGACCAGGACAGACAAACTATCTATAGAACCAATAGAATGTTTATAGAGTTAACCTAGTCTTCAATATGCAAAGCATCAACCATTTTAGAGGAGACCCACCAAGAAAGGGACATAGGAAAGTCCTTTGAATGTGTTTCTTTTGCTCCTTCAAGCTAATGACCTTCCCAAACCTGTCAACGTTTCATTTGGTGATCCAAGAACAGCACCATTGTAGTAAAAGTTCCATCTTGATCGTATGCATCTTATATATATATATATATATATATATATATATATATGAGAAAAATATTTCTCCGGCAACTTGAGATAAGTTTATCTCCGGACACTTTAAAATTACGTCGTTTTGTTTATTTATTTTCTTATATTAATTGATTCACTGATTCCTTTTTTCTCTTTCTTCCTTCATTACCATTGATCCATCTGTGTACGGTTATGATTTATTAACCGGAGATAAAATTATCTCCGGCAGGTTGAGAAACGATAAGCCCTATATATATATATATATATATATATATATATATATATATATATATATAGGCAGGATCCTTTAATACCAGTGTCAAATTTGAAGTTTGACACCTCATCTGAGAGTCATTAGATCAAAAAATATCAACGACTCCGATTAATAAGCATGTGACACCATTGATATTTTTTGATCTAACGACTCTCAGGTCAGGTGTCAAACTTCAAATTTGACACTGGTGTCAAAGGATCCTGCCTCTATATATATATATATATATATATATATATATATATATATATATATATAGAGGCAGGATCCTTTGACACCAGTGTCAAATTTGAAGTTTGACACCTGACCTGAGAGTCGTTAGATCAAAAAATATCAATGGTGTCACATGCTTATTAATCGGAGTCGTTGTTATTTTTTGATCTAATGACTCTCAGATGAGGTGTCAAACTTTAAATTTGACACTGGTGTCAAAGGATCCTATCTCTCTCTCTTTCTATATATATATATATATATATATATATATATATATATATATATATATATATATCAGTTGTTGAACAAATGACTATTGAATGAACTCGAATTTTGCATTTTGCGGTTCCAAGGAAAACTATTGTTTCGTCCATGAATTACAGAAATATTCTGTTGAGTGCATTATTTTACAATTTAATTTTTAATTAGTTATTTACCACAAAAAAATAAAATAAATAGTTGGGACACTTAGAACAAAGGATCCGAAGGAACACAATGTGTGGCGTGATAAATTTTCACCCAAATTAGCAAAAAAAAGAAGAAGAAAGTTATCGCTGCATTTAGAACATATAAGTAGAACTATTAAAGTGGATTACAACTTTTGAGCCAATACAGTTCAACCCACCATTCGGTGGATTGAGTTACTCTATCAACTTGTTAAGATCTCGAGTTAATAAGACAACAAAATTTCTGGGTTATCTGAGTTTAAGTCGGGTTGAGCATTTGTCAATCAGTTTTTATTAACTTTTTCTCCCCCGTATCTGTGACTGAGTCTTTAGCCATAGAATGTTCGTGGCAATCTGCTTTCATAGTTCGGTTTGTGGCGCACATATTATCATAAACAGGCAGATACATTATCTTGTAATAGATGAAAAATTTGTTTGTGACAATCTGCTTTCATAGTCATAATAGTAAGAAGTTTAATTAAACCCAAATATTTAGATGCCTTTTGCACTCTTATACTTTTCAATTGATTGTGTTCTGATGTTGAGCACATTAAGGATTATCATGGAACCTAAAGCCAACAAGATTGTAGGAAATTAAGAGGTTAAAACATACGGGTGCAAATCACAGACAAAACTACGAAACTTATCAAGAAATATTCATAGTTAATAAATACCAGATAGAGATGTATTCAAATGATAGGGGTACACCAGCTAAATCTTTCTAAATTAGCACGAGAATTAAACACTGAAACCTTGGTGATGAAAGCATGCATTATTGAGGAACAAAACTTAAGCTAAGAGGGATAGTCAAAAGTCTAGTTTTCCGGTTCTTTTGATTTGTCTACAGTTCGGAGTTTGATTTTTCTTCGCTTAAACTTTTCTCGTTCACTCCCACAAGCTCAGTGTCAAATATAAGTGTTGCCCCACCTGTAAGATCAAAATCATATATAAGCCTCTCTTAATAATAACATAGTTAGTTGCCTATAAATAAACTACAGAAAAACAATACAGGCTGAAGAAAATGAATATTCATGGAAACACCATTATTTTGATATTGTTTACCCACACCATTTTTTAGAAATTTCTTTGCCTTAAAATATTTATGTAATTAATCTGATCTAAAACAGATATCGACATGGAAAGACATGTTGCAATCTTCCTCTAAGCTTTAACAAGAACTGAAAATGTAATTCCAGTCATGCAAGAAGTTATCTCAACCAAGATCTGATCCTCTTCTACCAGAGTATAGACAAGTCTGGAAGTTCAGGAAAACCTCATTATCTTGCTGTCAGACATTGGTTTTACTAACTAGAAAGAGGTTTTGACATTTGAGCATTACTAACATGATGAATTACCTGGAATAGTGGGTGGGGAACCCTGCTCTCCATAGCCAAGTTTTGCTGGTATTTTCAGCTTCCGCTTCTCCCCCAGACACATTCCCAATAATCCTTGGTCCCACCCTGCAAGGAAGAAGGAGTCAACATGGAATCCTCTATCTTGAAAGAAGATCACCCCTCAACCATAAACCAGTAATTTGTAATAAAATTACATTGTGTGCATACTTGTGCAATTACGTAAATAAACCCATGCATGTATATCACGATAAATTACGGCCCATATATTTGGTTAGAAGAATAAAATAATAAAAAGCACATAAATTCTGAAGAAATATGGATGTAATGATTTATAGGCCTGGAGTTGTGCTATGATTCAATATCGATTGCATCTTCTTTTCTCTTAATGTAACGCTATCGGATGATACTATAAAAAGCAGGAGACGAAATGAAGAGAACAAATATAAACTATAAAGTAATATTTTCAAATTACATGCTTTACACAAGTGTGAAACCAGTACTATACAATCATAGAGGGATACAAGTGTCAGAAACTCTGACAAATTCTAGATCCATATTCATGCAATATTTGAAGGGCCAGCAAGGAACGTAGCATATGAGATTGTTGCATACGTTATGAGCAAAATGACATGCGAAAATGTGAAACTGCAAGAAATAATAAGAAAGGTCCTTAATTTGGTTAAAAAAATATCTTTAGAAGACTAATATGGTGACACTTTAATCTTTGAGGGACTAATTTGGTGACAAAAATCTTTGGAGGACTAATGTGTGAAATCTTAATCTTTGAAGGGCCAAATTGAGAGTTTATTCTAAGTATTAATTTAGGGAACATTAAAATATTAACTTTCTCCTGATATGAATAATGTGTTGCACTAGTTGTAAAAGTACTGTTCTTTTATACACTGGCAGCAGCCAGATAAATATTACCTTGGAATAGGAGTGTTAAGAGAAACCTCAGTTTGCCCTCAGGGTTTGCAGTAATTTATATTCATTAGACCAAAGGATTGAAAAGAATAAAGATGAAAAGATGTGAAGCAATTCTAAATGTTTAGATTTTAATTCTATTACCGGAACTTTAATTAGTTTGGCCCTGCATGTTATAAATAAACCATTTTCCTTGTCAGACGAGAAAATCAAGAACTAGATGTTTCGAACTTCCAAAACTCTTTCCCCAGTGCTACGGTGATCTGGCTACAATTTCATGACAATCTGCAAATATTTTCTATCTTTTAATTTATCTACTTTTAACCTCTTAACTTACAATTTTATTAATTGAGAAAGCAAGCACAGAAGCTAATTGATTACTGCCTTTATTGGTAATGAAACCAGGTTTTCAAAAAACAAAAGTTGTTTATGCACAACATACCTTTGATCACTTGACCACCACCAAGCTCAAATTCAATCGGATTATTTCTTTCAAAGCTAGAATCGAAAACAGTTCCATCAGTGAGTTTTCCCTGCAAGGACAAGTGAATATTTAATATGCAGGAGCATGCCGGACAAAAACTTACGTGAATGAATGATCCCTCATCACATGAACAAATGAAGAGAGATTTATAAATAATAATAATTCCTTAAAACATGTAGCTTAAAAAGCTTTGCCATGGTGTTGCCTGTTGACTACTTTGAATTATATCCAACTATGAACAGAGCAAGGATATGCAAATAACACAGCATCAAAATGGCTTTAGGCGATTTCCAGTAGTAACTATTTTATATATGCCTTCCCATTGTTCTTTCAACGGGTCATGTCAGGTTATTACCAACCTCTTCCCTTCCTTCCTTCCCCTCTCCCAAAAATACCATTAAGGTTATTGCTTAAGCTTATCTTCATGGAAGAAAATAAAACCTAAGAAATTGCTCACCCGATAGTGTACTTTGACTCTATCGCCTTTGTGAGCCTGAACATCACATGATGTTGGTTTATGCTGCAATGCGACAGAGAGTATACAGTTAGTTAGCAAAAAAGAGGACGTAAAACCCAGTTTCACTTTATTACACAAACAAAATAGCGTTGCCAATGCATATTGATATGCAACAATTTTAGTATTGATGGAAATGCAGTATTTTTCAACATCACAACAAACCACTAGCAATATCATTCAAAGCTAGAATCAGACTCAAATAATGTGTTTATACTTAAAACTCAAATTGCCAAGCATACAACTGCATTTATTTCTTGAAAAATGAAAGTCATATGTATTTTACCCACTAGCCTAAAAGACCAACTATCATTTTAGCCATTTCCAATGCATAACATTGTAACATAACATTTTAGCCCATGCAAGGCTTTTCATCGTGCTTTTAACAATAACCAGGTTACAAGAAACAATACATAAATGTCCAAGGAACTATGCACATAAAATTTGCACATAATAATTTTATATGAAACTACCCTTAGACTTGGCAGCTCAGCTAAAGAAACTATACTTCTACAAGTTATATTTCCTAACAAATTTTCGGTTTCATTCTTAAATGAGGTTACACTCACCAGTCAAATATTTTCCAAACAACTTGGATTCCACCAAGGCAATGAATTATATGTATAAAAAAAAGAGTGCAATTTATGCAAACTCCTTTTTCCATACAATTTATTTAAAGCCTCAACCCTGAAAGAGAGGGCATGGGTCTTAAATCAAAATAACAGGTTACCTTCACGCCAATCTGCAGCTCCGTTACATCATCAGTTTTCTTCGCATAAACTAAAACACAAAAAGAAAAGAAAAAAAAAACAGAATTTGAAAAAACTTATCAATGAAGAAGAGAAGTCATAGATATTGATCAATTGAAGCGAAAATTTAACGAGATCTGAACTAATTGTGGATCAAGCAGTGAAGAATGAACAACCAAAGAAAGAGGAATTGCTGAGATAGATTTTTTTTGCACGTCAATTCAACGGATCTAGAAGAACAAGAGCACAATACCTAATGCCGAAGCAAGAACGAAGAAGAGAAAAATAGGAACTGCTTTCATCGAATAGCTAGAACTCATTTTTCCTCGCCCAGTCACTCAAAGTCTCTCTCCCCTGCAAACGCTGTTGTTCTTAAATAGGATCAAGGTTTCAATCGGGTCGGGTTAATACATTTTTTCTGACCCTTTATCATATTTTATTTATTTATTTTATGTTATTTTACTTAAAATGGTGTTCGGTAGGGGAATCTTTTGAGACCGAAAAAGTACAAGTGATAATTCTATTTATTCATGTCATTTGGTACAAGTAGCGGTGATAATAAATCACGAGAATTTGGCTCGCGCTTCTTAAAAGTTTGAGTTTATATGTCTAAAATTAAAATTAGTTGTTGAAATCAAGTTTAGACTTGTATAAAAGCTCGTTTAATAATAAGGTCTGAGTATATTAAAATATACTACTTGTAATATCCCTCTCGCTCTCACTGTAATCCATTTCACCTCATTTTATTGGTTAAACAGAATTTTTGAATAATTTTGTTCTATGTTATCTTGTTTGGATATACATTGAATTTATGAATATTTATAGAATTACTAGTCCTGTTGATTGTATATTTTGTTTAGATAAATTTTTGTTGTTTTATTTTTTTAAAACAAGTAACAGTCTAAATCAGGCTTTTATTTTTTGTAAATAAACCAGGTCACATGCCGATAATTATATTCATAACATGTAACAGGCTTGGTCACATTTAAACACAGACTTAGTCTTTTAAGATCAAAACTTGATTCGGCTCGTTAACACCCCTAGATACAAGGTTTATGTTTTCAGGATTTTAATTTTTTTGAAATTTTATTTGTGTATAATTTTTCTTTCAAAATATTACCAAAGATGTGGTATTTTTAAAATCCCAAACATAGAATTTTTTTTTCATTTTTCCTAGAACAAAACTCCGATAACAATTTAGCCATCAAATAATTTTTTAATTATATTATCGAGAAAGTGATTTTTCCCCCAATACAGATAATAATTTTCGGTTTCTGCAACCTCTTCAAGGCTTGCGGGGTTTATATTTAAGGGTTTATTTTTTTTTAAATTACTTTAGATAATTTTATCTAATGTTAATCGAAACGACATCGTTTTGGGTGAAAATCATGGTGTTTTTATAATTTTAATTTATTTTAAGGTTATAATAGTCTTTATCATTTTAATTTTTTAATTTTTCAACCCAAAACAACGTCATTTCGATGAACATTAGATAAAGCTGTCTAAAGGAGTATTAGATATTTTCTTCCCTATATATATATATATTTTTTTTTTTGTAAATAAAGAGGGGCTAAGTCCCAGAAACAGAAAGAAATTACAAATCAGAAACTAACAAGCTAGACATATTTCTAGCATCAGCAACTATAAGTTCCATCAACTGAGGAGGAGAATCTTTAAAAATCTTGAAATAGAGATTATTAGTCTGCCCAACTTTAGCTAACCAATGAGCACATTTGTTGTTTTCTCTCTTGGTATGAACAAGATGAATAGTCCAATCTGCTTTTAACCATAATCTCAATTTGCTAGTGACTTGAGAGTTCCTAGGATCTTCATGCTGCTCCTTTAACATCTAGATGGCTTGACTAGAATCACATTCTAGCTCTATTCTTTTTAATCCTGTTCCCCAAAGTAGTTTCAAACCTTTCAGTAATCCCCATAATTCTGCATCAAGAGGATTGCATGAACCTAAATTACAATAGAAGCTTCCCAAAAAGGATCCATTGTGATCTCTTAATATACCACCACAACTAGCTTTTTTCATGCCACTAGAAGAAGCTCCATCACAATTCAACTTAACCCACCCTTGCTTGGGGGCTGTCCAAACGCTATCGTTGGAATCACCACGGTGCTGATAAATTCGGGCTTGCAGAATCTGTTAGACAAACATCCAAATTGAAGCCTGCGATTGCTCATCATGACAGAAATGATCTTCATGGATCTCCAAATTTCTCCACTAAACCAAATACTATCCTATTATGCAATTTCCTTATCCTTCTCTTGCATCTCATAAATGAGAGACGCAACAGTACTCATAAGGGTTTGAAGATATGAAGCTAAAATGCTTTAAATAGAGGGGGTTATGCAGGTTCAAATTATATTTAATTTATTATTATTTAATTTAATTTTTTTTATGATGCAACTATTTTATAAGTATAAAGGTGGAGTATTTGATAAATAAACTAATTTTAAGGAACAAAGTGGCATAAAATAGAGCTAGGCTGTTTGATTTGCTTAATTATTTATTTTGCCAATATTTTATATATGGTTTGGAATATTATATTATTATTTGAATGATTTAAAAAATTATAATTTTGGTATTATTATTTTTTGGGGTAAGTATTACTTATGTTGCTACTATGTCGTTTATATAATATTTGACTATGTTTTAAGGGTTATTGACCATTGTGCTTCTATATTTAAATTTTTTTATCACTTTGCCCCCCTTTTTAAACTATATATTAATTTTAATTTTTTATCAAAATTATACACCAATTTTTTCCTATTTGACTATGTTGACCATCATTTACTCAAGTAAATGGCATACTCGAGTAACTAAGGCCACTCCTCAAATTTGGATCTTGAATATTTTTTATTCAAATCAAATTATAATGTTTTATATATGTATAAATGGGCTTGAGATGAGTGTTTGTGTGTAACAGGAGCTAATTAGAATCAGTGTGAAATTGAGAGAATAATGAGGGAGTATAGAAGAAAGATAAGAGAGAGAGAATTAATTTTCTGAATCTATCTTCTCTATTATGCCCATTGGCTATTATTAATACTCATGAGTCTTCATTACATCAGTAAACTACTGGAATCAGTAAAAGGGCTTCATTACTAAGCCTTAATAATACTTGGAATTACATTTACTAGCCCACTACGTAATCCTCAAAGTAAGCTGGAGCCTTCTTCTTCCTTATACTTCTTGGGCGTACACCCCTGTTGATAGCATCGTTGGGCTGGCCCATAACATTACCCCCTCCTGGGATATTAGGCTTGTCCTCAAGCCCAGCAGGAACATGAAAAGCTGATTCGGATATAGACCCCGTACGAGGAACCCGCGTTGAAGTCTCAGAAGCAACAGAATTAATGGGAAACAGTTGTATGGCATCCAGTGTGTTGGACGGCTCAGATCTTGCCGACAACGAAGTGTGCACCTCAGCCGTTGAAAGTGGAACTGAGTCAGTAGCGTGGGACAGTGAGGAGTCCACTGATGTCTGAACCAATGTGGACACTTGCAGAACAAGCATGTGTTTCTCTCTCTGTGTGTTGTCTTCGTCCCCTTCACTCGACCGCTTAGCTCCCATTACCACCGTTCCATCGTCGACTATATTGATCTCGTGCTGGTGGTTCTCCATCGTCCGTGTCACGTTTCGCGGTGTAGCCTCACTCATGGTCCGTGGTGCTGTTTCGTTGGTCGTGTTTGCCGTGATCAAGATCGTCGCTTTATCCTCCCAGATGGAGTCAGATGGTGCCAAACCGGTCCATTAGACTAAGACTTGGGGTATTAGTGCACCCTTCCGCCAGATTTGACGTTCGCCCAAGATGACACAAGGTGTGTGGATTAAGGGTTCCCCCCTCGGTTCCAGATGGAAAGGGATGGATCTTGTATGACTGACCTTGTTTGAATGGCCGTAATAGGGAAACGTGGAAAACCGGATGGATGCGAGCCGTAAGAAGCAGCCGCAGACGGTAGGCTATCGAGCCAATTCGTTCCTCCACCGCAAAGGGACCGTAGAAGCGCAAGGCCAACTTTTGGGAAGATCGACGGGCCACAGATAGCTGTCGATATGGCTGGAGAAGCAGAAGCACCATCTCTCCAACGGTAAAGTTCCAGTCCCTTCTTTTCTTGTCTGTTTGAGCCTTCATAGTTTGTTGTGCCCTGAATAATTTGTCTTTCAAGGAGCTGATGAGGGAGGTGCGCTCGGTCAAAGTGGCATCCACTGCCTCATTGGAAGATCCCCCCAAGCAATATGATATGAGGTTCGGTGGTGACCTTCCAAACATAGCCTGATATGGAGTTATACCCGTCGACGAATGAAAGGATGTATTATAGTGATATTCAGCGAAACTCAAGAATCTGGACCACGTTTTGGGGTGTTCATGAGCAAAGGCCCTGAGGTAATTCTCTACACATCTGTTCACCCTCTCTGTTTGACCGTCTGATTGAGGGCGGTAACTTGAACTAAAGTTCAATTTGGTTCCTTGCAGTTTAAATAAAGTACGCCAAAAATCACTAAGAAAGATGGGATCACAATCAGAAACAATGGATTCTGGAATTCCATGAAGTTTACCAACGAAATCCCAAAAAATTTGAGCGACTTTAGGAGCAGAGTACGTGGTGCCAAGGGAATGAAATGTCCCGCTTTGGAGAAACGATCCACCACAACTAGGATGACGGTGTAACCTGCACACAAAGGTAAGTGAGAAATAAAGTCTATACTGACTTGTGACCACAATGAATCAGGGATTTGAAGAGGTTGTAATAACCCCAAAGGATGTTGATTTGGAGCCTTTAACTTCTGACAAATTTCACAAGTAGTGACATATTTTTTGACATCCCTTTGTAATCCTTTCCAGGTGAAATTCCTGTTGATTCGGTGAATTGTAGCTTGGATGCCCGAGTGTCCTCCTTGAACTGAAGAGTGGGAATCATGTAGGATGTGTGGTATCAAGGCGGAAGCTGCAGGTAAAAAAAAACGGGTACGGTGAAATAGTAACCCATTGCGAAGACGCCAATCCCCCATTGTGGTTGGAGTAATCTGTAACTGCTGAAAAATGTTCTGGGAGAAGGGGTCTGCTGTGTATTCTGCTTGTAAAGTGGTAGTGTAATTGAGCTGAGGACCGGACAAGGCGAATAATTGGGAAGTGGATTTTCTAGCAGCATCTTCAGGTAACCGAGAGAGTGTATCAACTACAATATTGGTTTTCCCTGGCTTGTAAGCAATGGTATAATGAAAACCCATAAGCTTGGACAAAAAGGTCTGTTGTTCAGGAGTCTGTATGACCTAGCTCATTATGTTATGTAGGCTGCGATGATCTGTCCTGATAGTGAATGGAGCTCCTAAGAGGTATTGACGCCACTTGCTGACTGCGGATGTGATGGCGAACAT